GGCTGAGCCCTCCCCCGAGAGGCTGAGCCAGGCAGCGCAGCCCTGGACACCTCCTGCTCCCCTGGGAGAAGCCCCGGAGCCCCGGATTTTGGTGTTTGTTTGTTTTGTTTATTTTTTTCCTAGATGGGATGTTTTTTTTTTTTCCCCAGGCGATGCGGGCTCTGCCCCTGGGGGCCGGGGCACTGGGGGGCACTGGGCAGGAGGGCTGTCAGTGGGACGAGGAGCCTCCCGGGGCAACGGGAACCAGGAACTCCTCTCCTCCTTGCACGTACTCCTCATCACCTTCCTCCCCCGTGCAGGTGCTGACAGGCTCACCTTGAAAATTATGGAGCCCGGAATTGACCTAAAATACACTGGCTCTTCCCAGAAAATTTGTGAATGAGACTGCACGCGGATGGCAAACTCAGGAGGAGGAATAATACAATTAATTATTTAAAAGGCATGTTTGTGGGTATTGTAAAGTAGATACCCAGGCTTGTGCATGAATCAGAGCTGAGCAGTAGCAGGGGGATGTCAGGGACCATCTCTGCTCTTCCAAGAGGAGCTTCTACCTGAGCATCATCTGTGACCCCCTCACCAGCCCCTGCAATCAGTCTGCTTCAATTACGAATAGCAGAACAAATCCATGAGCACACAGACACCTCCTTCACATCGCCCCCTGTCCAGAAGGAGGAGCAGGGTCCAGAAGACATGGGATCCCGTCAGCACTCCCTGCTGTTCACGTTTGTGGCCGGCCCGAGGAGCAGGTCACACACCATGAGCTGTGATCCAGCCAGACACAACAGGCTGAGAAGCTTTGGGACAACCTCATCTGCTGACGGTGTCTCCTCGCAGTCTCCGGCGGCTCCAAGGGCTGCAGGGCAGTTTGTTCTGTTACTCTCAGGCTGTTCCTTCTTGCTCTGAAGCAAGTCAGGATTTTAGTTCTTTCTCCAAAGCAGGGTGTGACTTGGAACCAGGAGTGACCAGTTCCACTTTCCTTCTAAACCAGCGTGCCATGCTGCTCACCCCAGGGCTGGGAGGAGACAGCAGCTGAATGGCAGAGGTTCTATCATTTTCCTCGAGGAAAGCACTGCCTGACTATACCTCAGGGAAGCAGGATTAGTCCTAAAGTGCTACGAATGTTAAAAACCTTTTATCAACAACATTATTGTTATTAAATCAGCCACAGGGAGAAACAGACCAAACAAACAAGCAAACTCTGAATGCCTAAGATGAGGAGACAGACTCCAACTTGAGCCTAAATCCTAAGGGTTTAAAATGGTAAAGTGTATTGATTGTCTGACCTGTGCACTGTGCATAACCAGGACATCAATTAGTGCAGTCAGATACCATGAAACACATCTTATTATAGGTGAAAGGAATATACTCAGAGAAGAAACCAATTTACTTCACCGAGAGGACTGTGGACTGGAGATGCTTTGGCAGTAATTGTGTTCCTGGGTTTTGTACAGCAAGAGACAACAGGAGCAAAGACCCGTTGATTTTTTAATTAGGATTCTTGAGGATGCCCTTTCACTTTCAGATCCAGATGCACCTCCTGACTTCATGGAGGGGATGGAATCCAATTGGGAACTATCTTCAGGTTTAAATTATGCATCAGAGACTGTATGTCCCTGTTCTCATCCAATGCTTGAATCAGGAACCTCTTCTCATCCAAATTTGTTGTGCTGAAGGGGTTCCATGCCTCCAGCTGCACTGCCAGGGGAGATTCACCTGAGACAAAGGGACCTTGTTGTCATTTGTTTGTGGCTGATAACACCCAAAATACTTCAAGAAGTCATAGGTTTACTTCATAAGAATTTATGAAGCGAAGTTAGCAAGCTTGAAACAAATCTTACCACAGCTTGTTATCTCTCATATCTGCAGCCTCCTTGCTCTGAAAGATGAAGATGAGCAATAGAGGCTAAAAGTATTACCTGGGGACACATTTCTTCACAACTCAAACCCAGTAATTGTCAGAGCTGCTGGAAGCTACAGAGGGTTCCACATCCCAGGGTACACGTGGGGTGCATTATTCTGCTCAGTTCATTTACATTCACCTCTTCTCCATTTTAATAACCTCAGCTGGGTCTCAGAGCCTTTACAGTGTCTGATCAAAACCAGTGCTGTCAGAGAACTCCAGCCTTATCAATGCCACATCCAAGAGGCAGAACATGCCTGGCCCAGTGCTTTATGGCCTTAGAAGCTAATCAGCCAGCTCCCCCCCCCTTCCTTCAGGGCAGCAGGCAGCCTTCCCAAGGTGCCGTGTCACATCAGATTTCTCTCTCAGAAACCAGAAGTAAACCCCCCTGCCAGTTGTCTGACTGATGGCAGCTTCCCACTGTGCACAGCAACATTTCACAGGGGACAGATTCAAAACCATCAACTGGAAAAGTCTTCACACAAGAGCTGAGTGAGCTGTGAAGCTTCCTGCCCCAGGACACTGCAGGTGCTCCAAATGTATATGGGTACAAATAGATTAGGATAAATCATCTTCCTGGGTGGGATGAGGAAAGAGCAAGAGCCTCTGCCCTGCCTACTCAAAAGAGTAATTGGATGCAGTGACAGGACCCAACCACTGGCCACCAGAGGTTGCCACCAGTCACCTTGGCCAGCCAGCTCTGGCTGTAAGAACTAGACTTTGTGATATTCCCATGTGTCTTGCTGGGATTTGTTACATGGAAAAGGATTACTGACCAGGTAAAGAAGGATATAATGAAAAAAGGGAAAAGAGTTTTGACCTTCAAATTTTAAACTTGTAATGTTTTAACCTTCTGTTACTCTGGGGCAACAACTAGAGAGTTATTACAGAGCTCAGCTGCTCTGGGACTGAAGCTGGCTGAAGCCAAGACTGTCAAAGTAGAAGACCTAAGGGAGGTGACAATAGCACAGACAGGTCCTTCTCCCCAGAGATACCAGAGAGGCACTGAAGCACAAGCTAAACAGCACCATAGTGATCCACCCCCAGCAGCCCATGTCCAAAGGGACCACACTTCTTCCCCTACTTCAGCAGCCTGGTGAATACATGGCAGAGAAAATCAGCCATGTGAGAGCAAAGCTCAATGTTTAAAAAATTGTTCTCATCACTATACAAGAAAGAAAACCATCCCAATGACTTTTATGCTTTGAAATGGTTTTCCAGCAGCCCAGGGCAATCTGTAAAATTTATCAGAACTGGTGTATGGAATCTGTCATTTTCTCTCTGATCCCTCTGAAGTCTTGGATGTTGGGGGGAGACAGCTCCTAATCAGGCTTTTCTGCACTTCTCCGCTACATTAATCTACATTCCACATTTGTAATTCCCTAATATTAACTTGCTGAGCTGCACAACACGTTCTCATCACTCTTTGATGAGCAAGTGGAGGATTGCAGAGGTGGAGGACAGATTCACTAAACTCTCTTGTATGGCAGAACAGCAGCAAGGTGAATTGTTTGCCCACATCTTGCTGATGCAGCCACCTTGTTTGTCTGATCAAGGGCTTGTATGAAGGAGATACATTCGGTATCATTCTGAGCCTGGGCCAAAAGCATAGGGACCCCTCTACTGCTATCATAGAGTCAAGGTTCAAATTCACCCTTTTAACAGCTTTAATAAGATGCCTTGATAACTGCCATGACACCCCACAAGCAGCCTTCCAAACAGCTCTTTTTCTACTTCTCCCTGATTATAAAGGAAAAACAGAAACAGGAGCACTCTGGAACCTGCCAGCATTTTTGTTAGTCTGAGGTGGGTGCCTTGCACCATGTCCCACCACCCCACCCCAGCAGCAGCACTGGAGAGCCTCCCTTGGGCACTGAAATTCCCAGAAATTACATCCTGGAGGCCAAGAAGATGAAACAACCACTGAGCTGCTTTGGGAAGGAGGGTCACAGCAGCTCTGGGGGTGGCATGGCAGCATTCCCGGGTGAATGGCACAGGTGCTCCCATAGGCACAGCCTTGGGTGGAGAGGAGGGAGTGCCCCAAGGGTTAATCCATGCAGGAAAAGCAAGCTGCCACAGCTGACATCCCAGCATCTCAACCGATGCAATCTGAGTAGCTGGCAAGATAGCAGCCACATTTCCAGCTGCAGTTTCCCTGGGCTGTGTGACCAAGAAGTAATTCAGTGCAGCTGCCAAGGTCCCTGGGTATTGATACCAAGTGATTATTCGAGGTTTCTATGCAACAGTTGCATTTCTCAAATGATATGACAAAAAAAGAGCCTGAGGGG